ATGTTATCAGAATGGGCCACCCGCCAGTTTGAGCTGGTTTTTTTAGTGTGTAAAAGAAGCCATTCGTGTGTAGACGTCATCAGTTAGTGAGTATGGAAGAAGATCGCTATCGATGTATAATTTTCACGCGGCATTTTAAAGTCGTCTGATAAGAATCGATCTCTGAAGTTTCAGCGTTGCGAACGTAATATTGGGACGCGGTGAAGAAATATCGACCTTGCTGAGCAATAAATGTGAAATTCTTAAGAAAACTGATATTATCATGGATTTCGTGACACAAACTAACCGAAATACTACTTTGGACGATTGAACAGTTTTAATACGGAAAGATAGGATTAGATGAAATTTTCATCGGGGTGGGACACCGCATGTATCGTAAGTTAAGCTAATTTTGTGATCATTTTTCAGTGACTTCAAATAAATTTTTATTTAAATAACCATTTGCACATTCTGTTTATTATATCTTCTTGCAGTAGGTGTATTCCCTGCTTCCATAATTCATTCAAACCCTAAACAAACTGTTCCTAAATAGAGGTAGGGTCGAAATTCCACAAAAAAAGACGCCATTTTGAGGGTAATTTCGATATATTTTCTGCTTTTTCTCTTCTTTTGCTTTTATAACAATATTCTCCTTGCTCATGCAGCTTCTTTGATTTGTTATTGAAACATACACAACGATGTCATGAGAATTTGGTCGGCTATCTAAATTTAAATAACATTCTTGTTATGGTCCCCCCGCAATGCACCACTAGCAAAGAATGACTGATATATAAAAACAACTCCTCAACTTGTCAGTGTTTACAGGCTGACATCATGCACAGTGTATATAATTATATGCCAAGCTGGCTTTCAAAACCTTCACCGTTTCCATTTGGAAACACACACTCACACACACACACACACACACAACAATTGAAGGTTCATCTCAGTGAATAAAAACATGATAATAATCTCGATTCATTTCTAATAGATAAACTACACTAACAACACACTCAGTGTGTGACATTTCTATAACATAGTCCTAAATATGTGTGATGACAGAAAAGCTGAGTCCCACAAATCAAATAGTTGTTCTTGTGACGTTTCTTGCCTCCTGGGAAAAGCAATCATAATTTCAATGCATGTGCACACAATACCAGCAGTTTTTGAGGATATGCAAAAGGAGTCTGTAGCAAATAGAGAATGTAACTTTTGGTTGGTGCCGAAATCCCAGAAGATGCATGCATGTCCATCTATCCAGTGATGAAGGTAAAAATATTTCATAACTCTAATCCCTTTCTTCTGCCAGCTAAAAAATAATAATAATAAGTTTATTGAGCACTAAATGATGTGAATACATTTGCAGGCTCTCTAGACTACAATATTTACACAATATATATATGGATATACAATTATATATGTTTACATATGTAGTATGTTAAATTATACAAAAAAATGGCAGTTAAAGCAATTATGCTAAAATCTGCGATTGTCATCTGACCATGTGACCTCCATAGATGGCTATAGTCTGTAATAATCTCTAAAGAGATTATAACAAAAAAGCAAACTTTCTAGAAAAAAAAAAAAAAAAAAAAAAAACAGGAACTAAATTTGAATGTAGAAATGGATTCATTAACCACTGGTAAGAATGGAAAAATTGTTGTTTACCCCAGGAAAATTTTTTTTTTTGCCAAAATAAACAGTTGTTATCCTTTTACGTAGACTTGCCAGATGGATCGATCTTAGCATGGGAACCCAATCTTAGTTCCCAGTGGACACTGCCGAAAAAAAAAAAAAACTGCATTATCTTTCTCATTACCTATATTTTGTACAAGAATAAGTATACTGCACTGTATCCAAGGTAACTTATTAACCAAGTGATAGGAGATACAGTGTATCCAGTGTAGCTCTGTTACTAAGTGATAGGAGATACAGTGTATCCAGTGTAGCTCTGTTACTAAGTGATAGGAGATACAGTGTATCCAGTGTAGCTCTGTAACTAAGTGATAGGAGATACAGTGTATCCCTTAATCATGTTGCTCCATTAAACAAAGACCTTATTTCACATCTTTTGTGATGAAAACCGAAGTAAAACTTTCAAGAGCATTTTCTTGATAGGACTGCAGTATTTATTGTTGTCATCAAATGGGTGTTAAAACATTGCTGTTAGCTGCTCAGGTAAGGGAGATATGTTAGAATTCAATATTACAGTTTTCAACCCAAAAACACTGGTATTACACAATCAAATTGGCACATTCACCCAAATTTATTTTTGATGCAAAAGTTTTATCTCATAACATGACTATATTTATTTCCACATTATCTAAGCAGATAAGGAAAAAACCCAAATATAATAATTAATCTCTCTTAAGTGACGCCATTGAAAGCACAACAACATTACTGATAAAGATGAAGAATCTATAATCAATTCCACAACCTGAAAATGCTTCATGTATATAATGTTTTGTTGGATGAAACTGTAAAAATGAAAAAATATTACAGTTACAGGAGATTATTATTTATTTCAAATATTGGAGTCAAGAAACGAATGTTTTAGAATACCATTTATTGGTTCCAATATTGAGTAACCTTACAAATTGTTTGACAATTTACTGTAATAACACCATAGTAATACTGCTTACCATATTACCTTCCCGTCTCTTGCTGTCGTAAATCCCACTTGTCCTAAAACTTGTCACATCCCATGTGTTACATATCTGGATGAGATGAAGGCTAGGGATGTTCTTGCTGGTCTTTAACTGTCTGTTCTTTATGACAAAAAGCCATGTCCATGTAACCAGCTGCTGCCTAGAAGCCACCATGTCATACAGAAAGGTGCTGAAAAAAACCAAAACAGTCCAGTCAACCACTAGTTTCCGTCATGAAGAAGTCTGGTTTGTTTTTGTGCTGGATACAGTATTTGGCACTGCAGCCAGTTGCAACAAAGTGTCAGTGCCACCTGAGCTTGGGGGTGAGGTATGGCTGACAGAGAAATCAACAAGGTGCCAGCGGGATGGTCAAGTGAAATGAAATGGGCATGTGTGTTCTGCGGCAGCATGTCTGAGGAAGGGTGGACATTGACCTCTTGAAGAACTGGATATTTTTTTTAAATAAAAAGGGCTAACATTTTGGGCATGCATGTGGTTGGAAAAGGTTGTCATGTTCCTAAAAGACTGAGTGCATTTTTATCCATGCCTCTCCCTTTTCATAGCCATCCCTGGCTGGACCATACCAAACAGTTAAGAGACATTGCTTGCCAGTCTACCTACTGGTAGAAGAGCATGGATAAGGTGGTGCTACAAGTAAAACAGCTTCTGCATGGCGTGGACGTCGATTTGGGGAAGGTTGTGGACTGTGCCATCAAAATAGATAGCTCATGGCAGAGCTGCAACAATTCTAAGCACAGGTTCGTTACAGTGATATCAGTAGATACAGAGAAAGTGCTGGAGTATGTGAAGAGACATCAGGTGTCAGAAAAATGCGATGTTGCATGTTTGTACATCAGCACAGTATCCATACTTAGCAAGTACACCCGACAGAATTATAAATGAAGCAACAACACTGGAGGTTAAATGCCCCTTTACCAGCCGTGATATATATATATACCAGTATCAAACCCCCAATGTTGTTTGTGAAACTTGGTTTGTAACTGGTCTTATCATATTTCAATGACATCAGACTGTTATACCAATCACATACTTTTCAATGGTGTAGGTTTAGACTTCACCAAAATGGTGAAGGTAGAGTTTCAGAAGCAAGTGCAAACTAGGAAAATCGCCAAAATGCCTACGGACAAAAGCTTAAACAAATGGACACATTTAAAAATTGCTAAGATGCATACAGGTCTGATGAATTTACCAAACTGCAAAGGCTGCTCCAAGATACAAAACATGTCAAAAGCCAATGCAGTGTGGGTTTTGCTGGCTGTGTTTTCTCCACCAGAGAAAGAACTTGATTTTTTTAAAATTCAGATCTGTAACTGTACATAACGAGAAAAATACCAAAATATCAGTACAAAACTGAAAGGTTTTAATTGGTACATAAAAACACATTGATTGGATTGTTTTAAGGTGAAAGAGACATCTGATGGAGACTCTCTTGAAATGTTGCTAAAATGCTGTTGATTTTAGGCATTCTCATACAGCTGCATTCAACAGATTTGATGACATAGATCCTGTGAGAAAGCTACAAAACATAGGGACATTAATAGGAGAACTGACAGTCAAGAGAAGACAAATTCTAGTGTTGTCTCCAAAACAAACTGACAACTTAAGTGACACTTTTGGTTGCGGCCTGTTGAGTATTACCACATTCATAATTCACAAGTGATGAATCGATCAGGGACAAACAGATTTTTATCTCCCTAGACAAGCAGTAAAAAGAACTTATTCATTAACATTAAGTGTTGTTCTACCATTTTACTAAGAAGGCTGGCTAATGACCGAGTTGGTTTGGAACTTGGCAGCAAAGAAGCAACAACACAATATCAAGTTTGCTATGAGAANAACAATATCCTCCTTGCTCATGCAGCTTCTTTGATTTGTTATTGAAACATACACAACGATGTCATGAGAATTTGGTCGGCTATCTAAATTTAAATAACATTCTTGTTATGGTCCCCCCGCAGTGCACCACTAGCAAAGAATGACTGATACATAATTAAATTCGTACCTACGTACGTCATCACTACAATTACACTATTTGTTTCATGAAAAATGTACTTACTCGCTTTGAACTAACCAACTTTAACTCCCTTACGGTGATAGATTCCCCAATCTGACGCGTAGAGATCACTTCGACAGTGAAATGACCGTAAGTAGTCGGTTCCTCTACCGGCCAGTATACGGCACTTGTCTGAGGAAAAACGCCAATTTAGCTGCTACAGTAAGTATGTTATCAGGAAATGGGGAATAAATATGTAATGTATAATAAAGAAACTTGCTTTAAAAGAACCAACCACGTATGATGTGGTTATTAACATTCTAAAATTGGCTTTAGCAACCAGCACCTGTGAGCAGTGCAAAATAAGGTCCAACTAAACACATTCGATATAATTGTATTTTCTACCTTGCTATCTTCGTTCGCTTCATTCAACATAACTATAGTCGCACAATGCTGGTCAAACAACATACTCCAGAAGTCAACCACCGTATGAGGCAGAGGCATCTGCGTCACGATATAGGCATCTTGGCGTTGGTAGCCCTAAAACAGTTAGATTTCTGATAAAGGGTTCCTCATAAAAAGTGATTGTTTAACAGAATTTGGTATTTATAAATTTCAATAATATATCATAGTAAGGTTATGAAAGCAGATTTCTGTTCCCCGAAGATCTTTCAGAATTTTAAGAGATGTCTATTATTCAGGTAAAATCAAACTTGAAAATCGAAAAAACTACAATACTCACAGACACGTCTATTTGTATACTGTTATACTGTATGGTATTTATGAACGGACCAGATGAAATATATTTCAGTATAATTATACCTGCACAGATAGATTTTATCGTTGTCTAAAAAAAATTAAATGATTCTTCATGATCAATATACTTTAACCGTACGTCTATGAACACTGCATTAATGTAGTCAGTGCTGTCCTTCACATATGACACAAGGTATGGTCTGCAGTGGTTACCTTAAAATATAGTCCAAATTCTCTCATAGTTCAAAGACTCTATAAATACAACAATATCTAAGATTTTTTTATTCTTAGTAAGTTGGAGTGAACAAAAAAAAAAAAAGAACAAGTGTATGTTGATGTATACATTTGTACGAGCAATAAAAGGGGTAAAAGACACGGGCTGATGTTTATGCTCTAATAAAAGTAACCTTTAAGTAATAATAAAGCAACAATGAAGAAATGTAGAACATGAAAGTAAAACTGAAGAGGTTTGTTTAAATGATACCTGCAACAATATTTCTCACTCTATTCTTCTCAATGTTGATAGGTTCCAAGGCCGTCTTGATGGAGCTTTCGTCTATTTCAGGCAACATAAGGTTCAGTATCTGATCGGCAGAAAAAGATAATCATGTACCGGCATAAAACAACAACTACGACGACAACAACAACAAAATAATAATATACAGGTATATGATTAAATATTCAAAGGTACCCACACCATACATCTAGCACCATGTCAAGAGTTGTTCACATAAATCTAACCTTAATTATATAACCCAGGGCTTGGAAAAACATTAATAAACAATAGGAAGCGTTTTGTTAGGCCTACCACAAACTCTTCTTCCATTTTGGTCAGTCCCGACTTGTTCCTTCTTCTTAGTTTCCGCAGACGAGTGGCAAAGTCTTGCACTGGTATAGAAGTTAAACCACAATGCAGTTCTTCCAACATCACGTCATGGATGAAGTAATATTGCTCCTGTAACAAATGTCTTTAAAATAATATACGTAGCAGGGAGGACGAACCCAATCAAATTCAAGTAATGAGTGCAATATTTCTATCCCTCTTTATTCCATACATAGCACCAATTAAATGGATTATCGCAAGCCATTACATGTGGCATGGCAATTGCTCCAACTGTTTTAAGTAAATTATTGTGAAACCCCTGTTCCGGGTTTTGAGATTTTTTACTGAGCACACTCTCATGTTTCAATATACACCCTGAATAGTATTAACGCGTCAAACAATAATCTTGACGATTCCACAGATAAAGTGCCTTACCATTGTCTGCACCATCTTCGGTCGCGATTCTCGCATTCCTTGGACGAGTTGATATATGTCGATTTTGCCTTCAGCAAGCACTTGTTCGAACAGGTAGTCCAGTGCTATGAAAGTTCCGGTCCTACCAACCCCAGCGCTTAAATGTAACGGAGATACATTTCGATCAATCATACGCTTTTGCTTTGTCAATTATTACATGTTAGTCAGGGTTAATGAATAACCCGATTCCCATTATTGTTTTAATTGTCTTGAAATTGAAAAGTATAGAAAATTTTGAAGAATGTTGAATAAATTGACCAAATACATAGTAAAGATTCCTGTTGATTGATATAAATATGTGCTTAAGAAAAAACGACAAAGTAGTGTATTACCTGCAATGTACAATGATAGGTCCTTGGTCTTGAACCTGACTTTGATACTTCTTAACTTCCTCTCGGAATTTTACCAAAGCCGTTGGGTCAACAGGCACACCATGATCAGGCCAACCGGTGAAGTGGAACTGTTTAACAGTACGGACTGCTGGTTCTCCAACCTTTGAGAAAACACAGAGGCTTGAAAATATTTACGTGAAAATCTAACGAGTCACAGTTTTACATTTGTAATAGTTCCAATGAAACTTAAAAAGAAAAGAACACTTTGTGGTGGTTTATTTTGGATCGTGCCAATATTCAGTAACTCGACTGCTTACCTTACAATACTTCAGGTTTCGGACAAAATAGTCCTGTCCTTGAATTTCATCCAGTGTAGTCACTTCTATTTCACCAAACTGTTTCACTCCCTCGTCTGCCCAGTACTGCTCACATTTTTGCTATAATGAAAAAAATGGGATAGTTTTTAAATTAGATTTAAGGTCTTGTACCAGACACTGTATGAGAGGGTGAAATTCACGGAGAATGCTCGTGTCAATCTTCATCGCGCAATGTAAAGCCTATGATGGATTCAAATTAAGCAATTCATTCAACTTAATCTCATCTCGTTTTTCTAAGGATGCGGAAAAACTAGAACTATTAGAAATTGGAAACAGTACAGTCACGATAAAAGATGAGGTTAAAAACCTTGGAGTAATTTTTGATAATAGGTGCGATATGGCTGCCGACATCAGTAAAAAATGCAAAGCCGCTTTCTATGGTCTTAAAAAAATTTCCAAACTATCCCACATCCTTGATAAAAGTCAAATGGAGAGGCTTGTCCATGCCTTTACTACGGAAACAGTCTACTGTATGGTCTTCCTACCTATCAAACTGAAAAATTGCAATCGGTCCAAAATGCTGCAGCACAACTACTGACCAAAATCCCTCTCAGATCAAACATTTCACCCATTTTATTCGAACTACATTGGCTTCCTGTACGACAGAGAATTGTTTTTAAATTACTGTTGTTTGTTTTTAAATTCACCAGAGGTGAATGCCCCTCATATTTTAACTCGATGCTACATCCAAGTACACCCAGTCTCACCAGGTCTACCAGATCCACCTCCACTCCTTGTTTTATCAGAAATGATAATAAAAAAACAACCAAAACCTACGGCCACAAGGCATTTTCAATTTCAGCACCAATTTTATGGAATCAATTACCCTCACACATTCGGACTATTGACAGTGTTGAGGTTTTTAAAAAAGATTTAAAAACATTCTTATTTGCACAGTTTTTTAATTTATATTTTCTCATTTTATCAGAAAAAAACTTTTATTGTTCAGACCATTACTATTTTAACTAGCTTTAATTATTTTAATTGTTTTTTACCTTAGCTTTTATAATATATATAATTAGTTGTAATCCTGATAATTTTACCTGTAAACAGCACTGAGACGCTAGTGTAGTGCGGTTTTAAGAAATAAATATTATTATTATTATTATTATTATTATTATTATTATTATTATTATCTCAACTTAATCTTAATTTTTTTAAAAATTAATATTAACTCTTTTTATGTCTCGTCATTAACACAAACGAAAGCATAAGTAAATGATAAATTAAAGTACTGGGTAGTATGGTGTTCGAAAATTGGCCATTGACGACCGTTTTATTGAAAGGTCCCTCCAGTGAAAGAAATGTTGTAAGGTTATCATATATCCTTAAATAATGATGAGTTATAAAAGAACGTAATGTTATACAATACATATTAAACTCACTTCCCAATTTTTTATTATATGGAACACGCGCGTTCTATCGGATGATACTGTTGTTTTTACCTTGCCCATTTCCACAGTTTTTGTCACCATTACAATTTGTGGAGTGTGGACTTGCCAAATCATCCTCCAAAAGTCCTTCACGGTATTCGGTTTTGGACCTACACCAGAATAGAAAACATGTACAATAGCTTTTTATGTAACAAAGATGACTTTCAGCATGTTTCAAACTGTCGCCAATAGTGACAAATATGGAAATTGACAAAGCGAAAGTGTGTGTGCGTATGTGTGTGTGTGTGTGTACGTGCATGTGTATGTTTGTCATTAATCAATTAAAATATCACATTTACCTTGAGCAGCAATAAATGCACGTGGTCTCTTAAATCCCTGAAATAAAAAAAACTGCAAATATGGCATCTGTTTCAGTTAAAAATGATATATATCATCCCTGACTACAGTTATTTAAGGAAATAAAGTAATTAATCACAGCCAATTGGATTACGTAAACGAGACTTCATGTTTGTTGGGTATTTGCTGTAGAGCACATTTGGCTTCTGGTACAGTTATAAATGCTATTTGTTTTGGGCCATCTTTTTTTTTGTTAGTAGCTTGAGCATATTATCACGAGCGAAATAGAATGGTAAATAACATACAGTGTGTTATAGTAAACTTACATCAATGTAGTTTGCGTTGACGTAGTCAGAGTTTGGATCACCAGGCAAAAGATCCAGTACAATTCGGCTATGGTCGTCTGATGGAAAACAAGAAATCGTTATAAAATCACATCATTATAATCACAGTTATACAATGTAGTTAAAGGGATAACAGCTGTTCATTTTGGCCGGAAAAATGGATTTTCCTAGGGTAAACGACAATCTTTCCCATACTTACCAATGGTTAATAGATCAATTCCGACATTCAATATTAGTCCATGGTATTCAAAAATATTTTTGTTAGAATTTCTTAAGAGATTACAGAGCATAGACATCTATGGACATTATGTGGTCCAATGGCAAACTCAGATCCTAGAATAATTGGAATTTGGTGGTGAAAGGGAAATTATTATGTTTCTGTAAGTTGTGTACAATGTATTTTCATTGTGAAATGTGAATTTCATACGAAGAGTTGTTATCCCTTTAAACTTGTGGCTTCGTTGTAATACACTCATAGGTTACTCGGATTTAAGGTTATAGTATGCGGGTGCTGGTAACGTGACACCTTTTCAACTGACCGAGATATAACAACGCGTTACATATCATTTAAAAGCCTAAATTTCAACAGATATTAATTCCATTATATAAGGGGATATAATGCTTTATAGATTTTCTTAGGCTGACCATTTTACCCTAAAATCTGAAAGTCCAATACACAAACACACGTTTAGATGGTACAGGTCGTTAGCCCCTTTAGCATCAACAGAAATGTACCTCAAATCCTTGATATGTGATTTACTAAAGATATCCCAATTTACAAAATTACCAATTCAACGATGCCCTTACCATGACTGAAAAACTCTTAGTTTGAAAACGGAGCTGGTTATATGAACAAATTCTGCAAGACAAACCTTAGATCAAATGAATAAACGCAATCTTTCATAGGGTGGATGTTCTAATTTGTTCTGGTAAAACCTTTCTCTGAGATAATATAAGAAGCGTTACGTAACTTTTACGTAATAAAATAACGAGATGAAATGCAAAGCAGTTGAAATAAGCTTTTTCTATTGATATGCAATATGTTGGTGAAGGTTGGTCGGTTAAGAAGATAGCCACGTTTCTGACCACACTGCCATGCCCCCCTTCCTCCGTCTGCAACCTTAAGTCATGAAACTATCAATAGTTTTAACTCAACAGTTTTAAAAACAATTTATTTGACGACATAACTTCGAACTTCGATGGCTTACATGGCATAATGTTTTGGAACCTGTTCTTTAGTTTGTTCTCTCGCTTTTGGCCGGCTTCACAGGGACAAACAAATACGGTAGGGAATTTCTGAAAAAGTTTTGGTGCTCTTTAATAATTGTTCATGCACATGCAGTAAATTGATATCAGTGACAGACTGCACACACTTCATTTTCTTTTCTTAATTTTCATTGTTCGATCACAGTTATGAAAAGTGAGACGTGGACACAAGTAAAGTGTGTTATATCAATCGAAACATTGTTTTGTACCTGAGAGGTTCACTAACTTATTTTCTCATTGCTTGACGCATATCAAAGATGCACCAGTCCAATTGAAAACATTGGACGCAGCCAAACACATACGGTACCTGATATTCAGCCTTAAGAACATCTCTGGTTTTCAATTTCATGACCTCAAAAATGTCATCTACGGGGATTTCTGTGCTTTGATCAATATTGCCATAGAGATGATCGTCGTCGGTGTTTTCATACATATTTTCTCTCGGCAATTCTTCTGCATGTTCATCTGAAGCTATAAAAGTTATATCAGAGATAATTTGGGTTTCCTTGGAAAGCTGTGTTTGTTTACTTACAACACATATTTACTAAAAGTATATTACCTTCTTTTCCTTGCAGTTCGGAAAAGGCGTCAACTTCATTTGACTCGTGAGGGCACTGCCTTCTGCAAGATATATAAGTTCACCTGACAGTGAGATTTGGACATGCCTATGATTCTCATGTAAAGAAACAAAGTGTAGTTGTTACACTGTAAATAAATGGTACATGTTTTCGTATCTACAGGGTACTAATATAGACACCCGGTAAGATGCCTCCCCGTTGGATACTCATACGCACATGCATATATACATAATTTCACTTACGTTAGCTTAAGTGACCATATATAACTTTATATATATACCTCTTATATACGACAACAACGACCACAACTACCGCCACCAGGACCAGAACCCCCAACACACCTCCTGCTACAGCGCCACCATTTATACCTGGCAGGGGCCGGAGACGTTAGGAAGAAAGAAGGGATTATACAAGAAGGAAAACGGCATTAATGTAGCAGGAAACTTTCACCTTTAAATAAAACTCGAGTAATGTATAGGGGAATTTTTAACTTTGAGTCTTAAACTTTAACGAATAATTATGCAAGATTTGTAGCACACTGATAAACAAAATTTCTCAATGTACAGATGTAAGTATAATACTGACTATACAGTTTATTCTGGTTATTCGGCTGGATTGAGACGCCTTTTTCCATATTCGTTGTTGCCTGAATTGGATCACTATACTCGCCATAACCGACAGCAGTTTTGGCACGTATCTACAAAGACAATAATGCTCAGGATGAAAAAATACTGTACATGAAGGCATGAGGAGTGGACTTACATTGTGCAGTGCTGCATCAAACTTTCTTTTCATAAAACACACCGCAAGCTTCATGACAACATTGTGGTGGTTCTGTATGAAATATACTTACTCGAATCATGTACGTGGAATTGAACTGCAAATTGCCTATAATTTTTCTAGTTATGTTTGCACCAGTCACTGTTTCTTCCCCCTGGCCGGATTGCTGAGTGTACGATATCTGGTAACTCACGATAACGCCTCCTGGAGGGGACGGTGCACGCCATCTTATCTCTATGGAGCTATTTCCAAGAAACGTCAGCTCCGGGACCGCCATCTTTGGTGGAACTGTAACATAAAATAATAATGTTTCACAAAAAATCTCCATAGTTCATTTTCTGAAAACAGCAATTAATGAGCTCGCTGTAATTAAATTTGGAAATAGTGTAATTTTTTTCGTGTAAAGCGAAACAAGCAAAGGCGTTTCCCACTGATATGAAATTTTCATGTTTAATTGAAAATCTTACCACCCTCTGGTGTAGTATGATTCACTGTCACTGGTGGCCCTTCCAGAAGTAAATTGTTAACTGCTGTCAGGTAGATGGTGTATTTACTATATGTTGTGAGGTTGGTAATGGTTATCAACTGTGTTTCGTTGACATGTATCACGTCCACCGTGCCACTGTTGAATTCTCCTTCATATCGGACAGTCAATTTTTCAAATCCATCACATCTATGAACCGTTTGGTTCATCCCCTTAAATTCAATTAATTACAGATTAATCTTTTAGACCAATGAATTGGTGTTGCTTGGTAGGTGAAGCCAGTTTCACACGGTCGCAAAAATGGGCGTAAAAAGTACTTTTTATCTTAACATGTATATTTGGAAAACAAATAAATCACTTTGTATTCTTTTCAATCTGAGACACGGCTGCTGCGTATTTGTTTCACACTTGTCTATTGGTCACATTCCCTCTTACTAGTCATTTATAGAAATAAATTTGATTTTAAAAAAATTATAGAAACATATTTTAAAATGTTGATAACGATCTCAATAACCGAGACAATGCTTTGTCCTTGCTCATGAAAACAACTCTTTAAAAATGTAGCACATAAATTCTCTTGACTAATACACTAGAAATAGCTATACAAAATACTAGAGGTATCTGCAATGTTATTTCAGTTATTAAACTACATGTATATATGGAAAGGCAAACTTGTACATATACGCACCATTGTATTTAGCACAATATAAGCATGCCTATTTGATAAGTCGAGAAAGGAGGTGACGTTTGGTTTCGGTGGTGCCGCGGGTTCTGAAAAAATGGTTATATCACTTCAACAGCGAGAAAACTAGATATCCACCAATAACTGGATTTTGAAAGGATTTTGTAGTTGCAAATGTGGCCCTGATTGTAAAAGTAAACATAAGGCAAATCGTGATGTTGAACTTACCCCCACATGTCCTTGCCGTGGTTGGTGGGCTAGGGAAACCATAATATCCTGCATTAGTCTTAATAGTTGCAGAAAAATTATATTCTGTGTACTGAGAAAGTCCTCCGATTGTGGCTGTATAATTTTCTGATAATACTGCCATGCTGCTAAGTTGATTGTCATGCCGCCAAGCTCTAATGACGTAGCTGTGAACACTATAGTATAAACCAACCCCTGATTGGGTCGGCGGTGACCACTTTTGCCAACTTATGGTGAGTGAATTGTGCGTTCTGGAGAGAAAGGTTGGTGCTGTGGCTAGATATGGGAGTGAGGATGTTTCTGCAAATCAAAATTAACACATGAACAATGATGAGAAGGAATGAATAAATACTCTTTACTTTTTTTAGTTTTCCACATTGATATTTCAAATGCAGTTAAAGGTATACACGTATGTTGATTTTGGACCAATGAAAAGGAAAGTGCGTGATGCAAATATAAATTATGACTAAATATAATGTCAGATGCAGTCACATACCTTCATCTCTTTAGTAAGAGTATCAGAAAACTGTACACACAAACTTTAAAATTTAAGGGAAACGGATATTTTCCCGGTGTCACGGTAATCACATACCCACTTGACATGTCCCATGATGTCCCTGCCAGCCTTCAGCACAGCCAGATGTACAGACTCCATACACGGGATGACACTGTTCATTATCTCTACAGTTACAGTGGTTTCTGCATTCGGGACCCAGGTTTTTATTTGTGCACTCTGAAAATAATATAGTTCATAAGTTTACAGAACGATTACCTGTAAAAGAACACGTTACTTTATAGGAAGCAAGCCTTTTCCAATTTCTAAGTGGTAGCTTCGACACAATTCATAAAGTCTATTCAACAGAATAGTACAAAAACAACTTGTACATGCACCATTTGTAAAGAAAATGACTTTTATGAACTAATACTTTTGAAAAAAATCTATAGTATCGACATGCATTTTGTATGCGCTAATAATATAACAGGAATTAACATATACATGTTTAATGCAATGCATAAAATACTAGGAATGCGTTACAAATGCGCACTTAAGACTCAAATAGCATTTAGGGTGTTCGATACACTGAGAATAAAATTGGAGTCATTTGACTCTGTAGTCAGAGTCCAGCACCCCTTGACCCTCATGGAGTTAATTTGACTCCTATATAAGGGTCAAATTCCCCCACTACCAGAGCTTTAGACTCTGTTATCAGAGTCAATCACCCCCTGGTTCTCATGGAGTCAATCTGACTCTAAAATCAGAGTCAAATTATCGGGGGCCAGTTTCTGGCTGACCCCTTCCATCGACTCTTTTCGCTCGCTGGACAGTAAGCTTTTGTTCATGATGTGTAGTTTTTGTTCATGATGTGCCAAGGAGTCAAAATTTCCTTAAGATGGGGTCATGGTGACTCTTTTGTAGAAATAAATCAAGGGATGTGTGAATTGAGTAAATTGTGACCCTCCTGTGGGGTCTGGGGTGGCATTACTCCATTGGAGTCAACTTGACTCGAATTGGGAGATATGTTAGGCACCACTGTTGGACTCCAAGTTTGGAGTCACTTAATTGGACTCCGATTTTATTCTCAGTGTAATAACCTTTGTATTTGAATCCTTTGATAGTCACTTCACAGAGTATTAAAGGGGCCTCGTACTCCAGTTTGACAATCACGAATTGACCAACACGAGGCACTTCACACGACAATTCTATGTTTCCCGCAAGAGGCACTTGGGAATCATACGTCGCACATATATCTCTGGAGTTTCCTGTGCTATTACGTGTCTCCACTTTTATTTTGCCTATTTTTTGACCAGCTGAAAGTTTAAATGAATATACAACAGTCAACTATAATCAATTATAAACAAGCCCGTAGCCAGGAAGGGGGGGGGGGTCGGGGGTCGAAAGAACCACCCCTTTTTCCTGGGAAAAGGTCCACTCTGGGTATAATTTGATCTAGGTACATGAAGTTTTTATGGGAAAAGGTCCACTTTTTCAGAAAAAAGAACCTCCCTTTTGAAATTGCTGGCTACGGGCCTGTATTACTCAATAAACTGATTAATTAATGATGCTTCACCACCAAAATATAGACAGTCGTACATATATTTTAGGAATACAGTGAATTTTGTTATTCTGGACAGGATAAAAGAATAACAAAAATTTAACAGGATTAGATATGAAAGGTTTGAAGACCTTAAGGTATTAATGTAATAATTGGTGAAGAACAGAAACCTTTAGATTTAATACACAATAAGTAAAAATTTATATATCACAAAAAATTTGGAAAAAATAACCCCGAGTTAAATGACCTCAGTAGATGAAAAGCGCCTACATTGAACTGGGCTACAATATCCACAACAAAAACATGAACATAGATCCATTCGAAAGAAAATGGCAGAAATTGGGAATCATACACAGAGAACAAAACAATTAGGGAAAGGTATGTGTACCTTATAAACAACGCAATTGTCCAGTCAATAGGTTTGGCCTACCAGGGAGCATGTGAATTTCACAAAAACGTCGTTGCATGTTGCCAACAGACAGACAGAACAGATAGGCGGGAAAATATTCACTAATTAACCCCAACAACATAATCGTTTCTTAATTAGTCCCCTCCTGACAAGCGGGAATCGTAGATGGAAACTATGTGGATTACGCGGTAAAGAGTTCATGGCTCCCCTCAGAAGCCCGCCCTTAACACAAATCGGCCCAAGATGAGCCAGCTGAGTAGGCCTCTCTCTAAATGTCAATATATGTGCGTTCACAAGTAGAGCGTGCACTTATAACCATGGCAAAACATTTAATCATATACAGTGCCTTGCAATCTAACGAGAGAAAAATTCCATTTGGAATACGTAAACTTACAGTCAACGCCATCGTCTCTGTTAAATAGGGTTACACTGTAAACCACGTACTTCTCGCCTAGGTCTACCCGCCACCAGGGGAATGATATTTTCTCTGTGTGAGAGCACGACCCACCACTGTTATATGCGGTAACATTTCCATCTATAGCACGACTTGCAACTCCACCGTTGGCAATACTGGTTTGATTTGCTGTTTTTCCAAGGGCGACATTGTCTGAAATATGTTATTTGATCTACAAGGTTTCGTCATCAGTAAGTTCATCAGTAAGTATCACACTTAAAATATTATTTTTTT